AGGCTTATGAATTAAAAATAGACGCTAGTAATCGCCAGGGAGCCCGCAGAGAGCATGTGGGCTGTGTTTACTAGAGAGAAGAATGCTTCCTATTCATGCCTGGACCTGGGTGGAACCACCCCACTTCCCACAACACCCAATGGCCTCTGGGCCTGGGAGACTAGGCCGACAGTTTTGGAGTTTACCAAGGGCTGGAAGACCCCTTTACCATGGGACAGGACCCCCAGGGCCATGTCCATCTGGATCAGGAAGGCTTACACCTCAGAGACAAAGTGATCAAGAGATTAGGTCATCCTCTCTGGCTCCATGAGCCAGCTTCCCACAGCATTGCATAAAACGGTCCCTCAGCTATTATTCGGACTCTGGTAGGGTCTTGTGGACAGAGTAGAGACACGGAAGCTGGCTTTTTCTCTGCCAAGATCTGGGTGCCTCCTTTCCTCTGGGCCTCAGTCTACCCATCTGTAAAATGGAGATGGTAATACCTGCTCTGTCAACTTCCCAGTATGTTAAGAAGATCAACCAGGAAAGACATATAAAGCTGAAGTGTCTAAATCAGGATAACTGATCAGGCCCAGGAACGACCTTCTCCATTATCACCTGAACTCATGGAACCATACCCAAGTCAGCTCACCTCAGAGATGCTGGGCTTGGTCTTCCACACATAGCAAGAAGGCAATGCTCACTCTCTTCCAGTCATCTTGACATGGTATGAGCCCAAATGCAAACCATGTCCAATAGCACCCCGGCTGATGAGCCCCCCCAGCTCCCCCAGGCTCCTGCGCTGTCGCTCAGCAGACAGCAACGCCCCTTTGTCAGCATCTAGCAGCACCCATTGCCCACCCTGCTCCCTCCTGTTTCCCAAGCAGCTGGAGAGCACTAGGTAGCCACAGGATACGAGGCTGCTACTTTTCTTCCTCATACCAAGCTTGGGACTAGCGGCCCTTGTCTGTCAGGATTTTTCTCAGAGTTTTCACGCTGTATGCACTGACTCACCCATGGAAGGTGGGCCTGGCCGGGGCCGCACACCAAGCACTTGCCCTCCGAGGGCTCAACGACCCGCTCCATTCCACTGGGTGCACCCCTCTTGGCTGCACAAAGCCACGTTTTCCTTTCATCCAACGCATCCAGAACTATTAGAACACACTTCTCCCCCAGGGAAGCTGGGCTTGCAAATGGTGCAGTCCTGTCCTTTAAATACTATCTATATGCTGACGACTCTCAAATTGGTGCCTCCAGCTTGCATCTCTCCCTGGGACTCCACTCATTCATCTGACTGCTTATTTGGCATTTACACGTGGATGGTTAACGGCCATCTCAGACTCTGCAGATCCCTGCTCAGCTCCAACTCTGCTCCACAAAACATCTGTTCCCTTTGCCCGCTTCCTTTCAACTTAGTCATGACAATTACATCTTTCCAGCTGCCAGGTGCCAAGCCTGTGAGCCCCCTGAGACTTTCCCCCTTTCTTCAGTGCCCCCCACATGATGCACTGGGAACCTGAGCGCCAGCTCTCTGAGCAAACCCAGTGTCTGGCTACTTCTCTGCCTCTGCTGCTGCCCCCGTCACCTTGCCCCAGCATGCACCAAAAGCCCAGCTAGACTCTCCGCTGTCACATCACCTATCCTCCACACAGAAGCCCAAGTGGCCTTCTAGGTGGTGTCCACTCACCTGTACCAAGCCTTGCAATGGCTTCCCACCCGAGTCTGTGGTCTGCCCCGCACCCTCCAGCTCCTGCCCCAAGGATGACCATCTTCTTCTGTTCCTAGCCTGCTCATTCCGCTCCAGTCACACTGACCTTTCTGTAGGTTCTCAGACTATTCCTAGCCCATTTCTGCCAAAGGGCCTTTGCGCTCACTGGTCTGTCTATCTGAACTGCCTTTCCTCAGAGAGCCACATGATGTACTCTCTCACATTAGGGGAGAGGCTTTTCTGACCAACTTGTCAAAACAGTGTACCTATCCCCGCCATCCTCTACCCTCTCGCTCTGCTTTGATTTTCCATTTTAGCACCCGTTACTACCAAGTATATTATGCAATCACTTAACGGTTGTCTCCTCCTATTAGGATGTCAGTTTCATGAGGGGAGGAGCTCTGCTTTCACTCAGTGCCTCACTCAAAGAATTTGTTGAATAAAGAGGAAGCAAGACTGAGAATAAAAGTTTGTACTAATATTGTTTTTTTAAAAAAGAGGAAGCAGGGAGGTACATGGTGACCATGCCTTCTATGTACTGAAGAAGGGAAGGGACATCTGCTGACTTGGTGACTGATGAAGTGACTGACTGACCAGGTGAGGCTCTTACTACCGATAGACTGTAACAATCTGTGGAAAGTTTTTTTTCCTGGAGAAATCAAGAACCAAGGTCACTTGTGGAATACATATAACGATCCAACAGTGGGTGGTCAGAAAGTCCCCAAGGGTGATGGCAATGCAAAAGCATCCCCTCAGGTTAAACACAGAAGACTGCAACTGCCGGCTGGTGCTTGCAGGGGGAGCCTGGCATGGTGAAAAGAACCCTGGACCTAGGGTCAGGAAACCCACTGCCAGCCCTAGCTCTGCACCCAAGATCTCTGAGGCTCGAGTAAGTTCCATCCCCTGTTGGAACTGTCTAAAATCTTGGGGTATCCTACCCCTGCTTACTTAGCCACAGGTTCATTTTAATGAATTCATGAAAAGACACCTACAGAAGCACATCCTACCTTGGCAAAGTGTAAAAGCAAACCTGTGTGTTCTATAGTGCCAGGCAGGAAGCTGGCACACGATGCTTGCCAGGCAAATGAACTCCCAAATGTCTTCCAAAGTCAGGATGCACAAGAACTCGAGAAACAGCCAGTGTTGGCAGGACGACAGTTCTAGATCATATGTGGGGAGCTGAATTTGCTCTGGTGACAATCTACAGTAAAAACAACTTTATAGCAGAGCATCCCTTGGAATTTTGATGCTAGAAAGCCCACCAGGTCTCACATCTGCCAAATGTAGGACTCTCGCTTGTCATTCCTCCTGTTCTCCCTCTTCCACTCTAGCCATCTTCATCCTCCCTGGCCATCTCTTGTCTGCCTCTTGTCATCCTCCTTTCTTTCCAGATGCATTGGCTGTGTGTCCTGCCCATAGCTGGGCACCTGTTCCACCCACAGGCTTTCAGGACAACTCCCTGTCACTGCACCCCTCTGCACGAAGTGCTCTGTGTCCCACATTTCATGTGCTCTGGAGGTGGGACTGCCTTGCACTGGACTGCACATTGCTCTGGAAGGTCACCTCTGCACCCTGGAGGATGAATGTGGCCTCCTTGAGGTCCGTGCCTGGTGCTCTTCCCCCTCTGCACCTCCATGTAAAGATGCTCCCTGCCTCCCTCCATCATTCCCCAAAGCAAAGCTCTTGTTCCCAGGTTTCCTCCCTGCAGTCATCAGAGGAGTTCAGTGTCACATGGACAGCCCATGCGACAACTTAACCTCTTAGCTCTTGCCCTGTTCAAGTCAGTGTCTCTCTCTTCATGCCTTGTCTGCCATACTCTACGATTTTATTCTTTTTTTTTTTTTTTGTTGGGGGGGGGACCGGGGATTGAACTCAGGCCCTTGTGCTTGCCAGGGAAGCGCATATTCCACTGAGCCATCTCCCTGGCCCCTCTATGATTTCATTCTAAGCCTGTCTTTCCCCTCTAAGAGCCAAACTCTTAAACCCCTCAACACCCCTGCTCTCTTTCCTCTTTACCCTCTCTCAGTGCACTGCTCTCCAAATCCCTCCTCCCGCACCTCCTTTTCTCCACATCACCAGCCCTTCTCTGCAACCCAAGACTTCACTCTCTGACCCACCCACCACCCTTGACCTTTCAGCACACCTTCCAGCAAGCTCTGCTCCTACCCTTGGACTGCTGCAGACCCCTAGGGGGAAAATAAATCACAGCCACTGCAGCCTGAGAGGAAGCAGCCAGGTGTGCAGGAGCAACCTGCAGGGAGATGATGCTGAAGCCAAAGGAGAAAGGAACTCAAGGAGGAGGGACTAATCAGGCAGACGGAAGCAGCAGGTCAGATCTGGCTGCCTGTCCCTCATAGGTCAGTTGGATTTCTGCCCTTGGCCTCCTTCTTACTGGATGCAAGCCCCTTCTGAATCCACCATCTACACTGAGGCCCGTGGGAATCTGCTCCCTCCAGTTTCCTGCCTAACAGCTTCTGACAGCTTCATTCTGCTCCCACACTAGACACAGCAAGACCTTCTGTGACCTGCCCTCTGCCTCTCTGTCAGACCCCAAAGTGCTGGACCTATCTTGGTATCAGGTTAGTTTTATACGCATTACCCCTCCTTCCCATTCCTTGCTAAATTATACCCTTTCAAAACTCAGTGCAATGGCTTCCTCCAGAAGGTCTTGGCCAACTCCCTCCACCCTCAAGGCTGCTCCCACAGCAGCCGTCACAGCCTTGCTACCCTAGGCCACTGTCATTCACGCTGCTGTCTTCCCTCCAGAGAGCAGTATGAGGACACCAACACTGGCTTGGTGATTCATGTAGCACATAATAAGTATCCAATAAATATCTGTTACACAAAGTCCTAAAATGACTTCTTTCTAAACATGCTTTCATGAATTCCTCCCCTATCTTAAGTAATAAAAATTGTACTATGCCAGGCTCCATCCTGAGTATTCTAATATATTAACTCATTTAATCCTACAATAAATCTATGATCATCATCCCCCTTTTTAATTGGTGGAACTGAGGCACAAAGAGGTTGAGTGACTAACCCAGCGAGGAAGTGCAGAAGCAGGGTTGGCTCTAGTCTGTTTTAACTACTACTCTTACTTCCTCTTCATAGCATGTTGAAGGAAAACAAACCAAAACTCGTATCAGTCTGGGCAAAAATAATTTTGAAAAACAAACCCACAAACAAACAAAAATCAGTCATACGAAGACTCAGGCCTTGTTTTTAGCTTAGTCATACCTGACTCCCGCAACCAGGGCAGATAACTCTGCTGAGCTCACACAGTCCCCAAGCCCTTCCTAGGGCCCCACCTCACCTTGTCCCCGACGCCCTCAGCCTCCTCTGCCAGGAGGTACACGTTGCCACCATCAGCCAGCAGCAGGGCAGTGTCAGTGGTGGAGGAGGAGCGGGGACGGCACTGGTGCTGGTGCAGGATGGCGGCCAGGCTGCTGTCCTGCGGGGTCTTGCGCAGCAGGTGGGGGCTGCCGCGCTGGGGCTCCAAGGAGCTGCTCTTGGTGCGCCGGCTGCTGCCCCCGCCGGCCCCACTGCTGCTGTGCAGGCTGGCACCCCGTTTGATGGAGGGCCGGGAGCGGATCTGCTGCAGCACGCGGTTGAAGGCAGTAGGCCGGGCAGGCAGGTCGTGCAGGGACATGGCGTAGGAGACGCGGTGCATCTCGGGGGAGCGCTCCTTCTCGTCCGGGGAGTCATGGTCAGACATGCCCTGCTGCTGCTGGGAATCCTGAGACGCCTGGTGCTCCCTCTCCCGTGACCGGCGGCGGCTGTGGAACAGGTGCTTCAGGCCGTGGCCAAACATGGAGCCCTCTGAGAGCTGCTGGATTTTCTTAAAGGAGAGAGATGAAGAACTCTGGTGAGAGGAGAGCTGGGAGTGAAAGGAAAGAGTCTTGTTGGGAGACCAATAGCTACTACAGCCATCTGCATTTGTAGCATCCCTAAGGATGGCCTGTCTTACCCCAAAAAAGGTGAGAGAAGCTGGGTATGGTGACACAGGCATGAAATCTGAGCACACAGGGATGGTATGGAAGGAGGATCGAAAGTTCAAGTCTAGCCTGGGCAACTTAACAAATCAGGGAGATTATGTCTCCAAATAGAATTAAAAACGAGCAGGGGATATAGTCCTGTGTAAAGGCCTGGGGTCCAATTCCCAGCACCACCACCCCTAAATGGCTGACTCACTGCTTCATTCCCACAGGAAAGTACCCCAAAATAGAGGGGTTCTTTTTTTTTTTTTTTTTAAAGAATGATGCTTTCAGGGCCAAAACTAGAGCTTAGTGGCACCCAGAAGTAGCACCTGGTTCCCAAGGCTGGATCCTCCAGATCAAGGCCAACATCCCCAGCACCTCCCCCTTTCCAAGTCGCACCCTGCTTCCAGCTGCCCTGGCTCTTCCAGATCACTAAGCACTCATTTCCAAACATGCTTCCTTGGGATACTTCTTGGAAAAACCAGGGTCTCCTAATCAGGTTATATGCTTGGAGCAGGCATGGCTAATTGCTCAGCATCCATTTCCTCACCAACCAAACCAAGGGTCCTTAGTGCTTCTTCCTAAAAAGTCCCACTTTGACAGTCTCCCGTGCAGCTAAGAGTAGTCATTTGATACAACGTGGGGCAATAAAATGCAGAGGTAATGCTGTTGGGGCAGCTTTCTTTTTCTGGTAAAGGCAGTCAACCTTTCCACTTCTTTCCATCTGAACTGTGGAGGTGATGTCTAGCGGTGCAGCAGCCACTTTGCTACCACGTGTTAACAGTTAATGATGGTACCACACAGACGGTATAGCCCGAGAAACAGACCTGGGAACTTGCCAGCCTGGAGAGTCACCAAATCAGTCATGAAGGCCAACCCTGGGATCCTTGTTGTCAGAAATAAATAAACTAATCTTCACCCAGAAAGTTGTTTTGTTTTTCTGGCGGAACCGGAGATTGAACTCAGGCCCTTGCACTTGCCAGGGAAGCACTTATTCCACTGAGCCATCTCTCTGGCCCTACCTAGAAAGTTGTAGAACAATTTTCTGTTCTTAGCCCCACTGGCAATGAAATAAACTACTTTTTAATGGTATCATCTTGTGGAATGGTCAGTAACCAATTCTCTTATATCCACATTAGAACTGGTTATCCACATGAGGGTCTTTCCTCTCAAAATGGAGCAAAAGCAAATAGCTGTGGTGCCGGCACTGCCCTGGCCACAGCCTTCCCTAGTCACCCGAGACCCTCCAGCTGCTCTACAGGCAGCGCTGCTCAGACAGGGTGCTGGCTGCGCCACCGGCACACGGGTACAGCAACAACCAGACAGCTGCCGGCCAGGGGCCACTGACCAAGCAGGCTGAGCCCTCCGCATAGCTTCAGTGCTGGAGGAGGGGTGCAAGGTGAACTCCCCACTCCCAACTGCTAAGAGGGAAAGCCCAACCAGCCACTGGGGCACAGGGAGCCCCTGCAGGTTCTCTTCTGGGAGGAACAATCCATAATTACCTGAGGCAGCTTCAGTCATTTTTTAAAAATGCTCCAAAATTAAACACTAGATTTTCTTGCCCCTCTAGAAACAAGCGTAGAGGTAGAACTCTTGAAGACACTGGTGCAGGCAAACCTTTTCTGAACAAAATGCAAATCACATAGGAGCTATCACAAAGAATCAGCAACTGGGATCTTATCTATCAAAAAGTTTCTGCATTGCAAGAGAATCCACCAACAGAGTGAAGAGACAACCCAAAGAGTAGGAAAAAAATCTGCCAGCTGTTCCTCAGACAAAGGATTACTTTGTCCAAAAAAAAAAAAAAAAAAAACCAAACCAAACAAAAAGACCCCCTACATTGAATGACCCAATCCAAAAACGGGCATATGTGATAAATACACACTTCTCAGATGAAGTACAAACAGCAACTAAATATATGAAAAAAATGTTTAACATCATGGTCATTTGAGAGATGCAAATTAAAACAACAATGAATTCTATCATACCCAGAAAGAATAGCTATTACCAAGAAATCAACCTGGGGCTAGGGAGATAGCTCAACAGCATAAGTGCCTGCCAGGCAAGTGCAAGGTCCTGAGTTTGATCCCTGGTACCACATAAACAAAACATAACAAAGAAATCAGCCAGTAACAAATGCTGGTGGGGGCATGGGGAAAAAGGAATCCTTCTCCACTGGGTATATCCGTTATGGAAATCAGGGTGGAGACTCCTCTAAAAACTAGGACTAGAGGTTCCATTCAACCCAGCTAGTCCCCTTCTTGGTACCTTCCTGAAAGAATTAAGAACATCACACCACAGTGATACATGCATACCCAGCACAGTTTGTAACACCCAAATCTTGCAAACTGCCAAAATGCCCATTAGCTGGCGAATGGATAAAGGTGTGGGATAATTGTGCACTACTCTGCCATAAAGAAGGATAAACTCGAGATATTGCTAGGTAAATGGATGCTCCTTGAGACCATACTCTCATGAAATAAATCAGACACAAGTGTAACTATCTCATTATGTCTCCAGTGTGAGAAACCAAAAGTGTAAATAAGGACTAAAGTATAGAATAGGTATTGTGAAATACAAGGAAAATGTTTAAGTGGAGAGGGGCACAAGGAAAGAGAGAGAGAAAAAAGCAAAGAAGGAAAAGTAAAAAAAAAAATGAGAAAAGAAGGAAAAATATGGCTCAGTAGAATAAGTGATTCCCTGGCAAGCGCAAGGGCCTGAGTTCAATCCTAGTTCTGGGGGGCAAAAAAAAAAAAAAAAAGAAGGAAAAATAGAAATTAAGCTTTTTGTAAATGGGGAAAGGAGAGATTGGAGGAAAGGAAGGGAAATGGGGAAAAAATAAACGATATCAGGTACAGGTACAAATTCTCTATGATGAATGGGATCATTATGTGTATTTAAAATGTACTCAGGGGGCTGGGGAGATGGCTCAGTGGAATAAGCACTTCCCTGGCAAGCGCAAGGGTCTGAGTTCAATCCCCGGTTCCGCAAAAAGAAAAAAACAAACAAACAAAAAAAAAAAAACAACAAAATGTACTCAAAAAATCTGACTGGAAAAAAGAATAGAAACAAATTTACAGAGCAGAAAACTTAGATCATGCAGAAACCAAGAGTAAAGAATCTTACATCTTCTGCAACCCCTGATCCTAATCTTTTGTCACTTTCCACCTCAGTACTAAGAGTTGGTGCAAACAACTACATCATCTATACTTGTGGGAAAGTGCAGCGTGTTTATTTTTCTCCTTGTTGGAGCCTCATCCACAATGCTCCAAGTAGGCCAGGCCCTAACATCACCCATCTCACAGGCCAACAGATTCCTCCATCGGCCTCACCAGCTCCTGAGGGTATGGCTGTGGAGGTTCACTTTCTCCTGCGTGACCTCACTTGACTTCCCCAGGAACCAACAAGAGCAACAACAGTAACAGTCCCACTTACAGATGAGGAAATTAGGCCTTCTTAAGAATCAGACTTGCTGGACTTGGTAGTGCACACCTGTAATCCCAGCACTCTGGAGGCTGAGGCAGGAAGATAGCCCAGAGTTTTAGGACAGCCTGAACTATATAACAAGGTACTATCTCAAAAACAAAACAAAACAAAACAGAAGGACCTGGACTTGGGGGCAACCCTGAAAATGGAGGTCACACAGTGCCAGGTTTTCTCACAGTCATTATGTTCTTGGGCTCAGCTGGAGGCAGCACCCAAAGGCTCAGCTGACTGTTCTGGTCAGAACCACGACGTGCAAGGCAGAGAGACGGTGGAGCTGGAGCACATTCTGCCATGAGCTCAGCAGGAGCCAGATCCTGCGGCCTGCAGCTGAGGGGCAGACACCACACCGCCCTCTTCCTCAGGCCCAAGCTGATGCAAGGCCTCCTCCCTCCACGCATCCGGGACAGGGCCAGCTGGCTCTGGCCAGTGCCCAGCTGCTCCTGCCAAATGGTCATGCTACATATTATGAACTATCTATCCAGCCTTCCCTCCCAGGTCCCTTGACCCTCTCTCCTCATTTCTAAACTGGCCTCTCCAGCACTGAGGCTCTTCCCCAGCTGCTTGGGGAAGACGCATTTCTCTCATGTCAGTAGAGGTTCTCTGGGTGCCTGACATTTCCTCTCCTCAGCTCTGGGAATGAGGGAGAGGTTTCAGGGACTCCATTTGCCATGTTCTCTTTGACTCTACCATCCCTGGACAGCTTATTTTAAAAATTACACACGCTGGACATGGTGGTGCTGCATGCAACTCCATCTGCTCAGGAGGCTGAAGCAGGAAGAGTGTAAGTTGGAGGCCAACCTGGCAACTTAGCAAGATCCTGCCTCAACATTAAAAAAAGAAAAGAAATGAAACCAGAGGAGCTGGGATGCAGCTCAGTGTTCCCTGGATGCAAAGTCTAGTATTAGAGAAAATAGACACTAATTTTTCAAATTGCTCTCCCATTTATGCCATCATTCTAACCTGACACTACCCTCATCTCTGGAGGTGGGATGCGTCAGGTTATAGCACTGTGGCCTCCATTCTGCAGAAGAAGAAACTAAGGGACCACACAGCTAAAGGCTCACCCAAGCCACAAGGCGAGCTCCCTACCTCTGGCCTAATTTACCTGTACTGACCTGCATACCGATCACCAGACTAAAGCGTATATGGTATTTGCAGGTGTCCCAGAACAGTATCAAAGGCAAGACTGAGACAAAACAGAAATGCCTGGACCAAGGGGATCAGGCCCCCTGAACTGTAGCTATCTGCGCAGGGCACCTGAGAGGACTTGGCCAAGCAAGGCCCCTAACTATGAGGTCCACTTCTCATCTCCCCCAGCTGCTCTCCAGGGGAGGAACAGCCAGGGCCAGCAGCCAAGATGCCGCACGACCTTTGC